CCCAAATCTGAATTAACCCGCTTGTCCTTTAAAAAAGCGACCAATTCAGGCTATTCTGTCAATAATACATGCGCTTGCGTTCAACAGTTCTCTCTATGTATTAGGCTATCTTTGCTATTACTATTCAGTTTGTTCTTATATTACATGCGCGTGCGTTCAACCGTGCTCTCTATGTCCTCGTGGTGTTCACAGTGTCAGAGAAGGATGTGCGGTACTGCAAACGAAACTTAGGTCCAAGTTGTGTCTAAAGAGACATCGCTCTCATATTTCAACTTATCTTTATCAGTTCCGGTGTTTTAACCGGCGACTGTAGTCTTTCACGGTCGCGCGCGCGTACGCATGCACACACACACAAGCACAAACATAAACACATACACACACGTACACACACACAAACACACACACACAAGCACACACACAAACACATAAACACACACACACAAACACACACACACGTACACACACATACACACATACACACAATCACGCACGCGCCCGCTCACACGAATTTGATTGCTAGGTTATTTTTCATCTAGCTCAGTCCCAGTTTGCCATGACAGGCCGAGTCGACACGTCACACAGCCCGCCTCCTAAACTATCTCCGTCATGTTGTTAGTGACGTTCAACTTTTACAGTCATCTCTACATAATATTATATTTTTGAAAGTTCGTTACTTTCCCAGCCTAAAACTTCCGAACCACTGAACTTTTGAATTTGACAAAATTAATGGCGATTCAGATCAGGGAAACGTAGTTTTTTGAGAGCATCCGAGCAAAGGAATGAATGGAGAACCATGATCGCCGATGTCTGTCGCAGATCTGGCACTGGATGATGATGAATGGTGGTTCAGAATCATTTAAAGGGTGCACAGTTTTATTGAGGAGCCTGAAGTCACTGTAGTTTAATTTTTGTTTTTTCGTTAGTTTCTTGGGAAAGTCCGTCTTCTAAAACGCCCTTGTAAACAAGTGAAGTTTCCGTTCACTAGCCATGCGCAATGTTTCCACAATGACTTGATGATCGACGATTCTTTTAAGTACGTTCATCGAAAGTGTACCCAGCTAGTTAACAATCATCATCATCATCATCATCATCATCATCATCATCATCATCATCATCATCAT